TGTTTTCTATTTCCATCCATTTGCCTGCAAACTTCAAGAAGTCCTTGTTTTTTACTGCTGAGTAGTACTCTAATATGTATATATTCCATACTTTCTTCATCCATTCTTCAATTGAAGGGCATCTAGGTTGTTTCCAGGTTCTGGCTATTACAAACAATGCTGCTATGAACATAGTAGAGCATATACTTTTGTTGTATGATAGGGCCTCTCTTGGGTATATTCCCAAGAGTGGTATTGCTGGGTCCATGGGTAGGTTGAGGCTACAATTACCCTGGTACCCAAACCACACAGACATTACCAAGAAAGAATTACAGACCAGTCTCATTCATGAACATTGATGCAAAAATACTCAGTAAAATACTGACAACCAAATCCAAGAACACTTCAGAAAAATTGTCCACCATGATCAGGTCGGCTTTATCCCAGAGATGCAGGGGTGGATCAACATATGAAAATCTGTTAGTATAACCCATCATATAAACAAACTGGAAAAAAAACCCACATGATCTTCTCACTAGATGCTGAAAAAGCCTTTGACAAAATACAACATTCCTTCATGATAAAGGTCTTGGAGAGAGCAGGGATACAAGGAATGTACCTAAACATGATAAAGGCAATATACAGCAAGCCAACAACCAATATCAAACTAAATAGAGAGAAACTCAAAGCAATCCCACAGAAACCAGGAACAAGACAAGGCTGTCCACTCTCTCCATATCTACTAAATATAGTACATGAGGTTCTAGCTAGAGCAGTAAGACAAAAAAAGTTTAAAAAAAATAAAAAAAGAAGAAGATCAAGGAGATACAAATCAGAAAAGAAATCAAACTCTCACTATTTGCTGATGATGTGAGAGTTTACATAAGAGACCAAAAACCCTACCAAGAAACATCAACAACTAATAAACACCTTCAGTAATGTAGCAGGATACAAGATTAACTCAAAAATATCCATAGCCTCCTTCATACAGATGATAAATGGACTGAGAAAGAAATCAGAGAATCATCACACTTTGCCATAGCTACAAATAACATAAAATATCTTGGAGTAGCTCTAACCAAACAAGTGGAAGACCTGTATGACAAGAACTTTATATCTTTAAAGAAAGAAACTGAAGAAGACACCAGAAAGTGGAAAGATCTCCCATACTCTTGGGTAGGTAGAGTTAACATAGTAAAAATGGCAATCTTACCAAAAGCAATCTACAGATTCAATGCAATGCCCATCAAAATCCCAGCAAAATTCTTCACAGACCTTGAAAGAACAATACTCAATTTCATATGAAAAAGCAAAAAATCCAAGATAGCCAAAACAATCATATACAATAATAGAACTTCTAGAGGCATCACAATCCCTGACTTCAAACTCTACTATAGAGCCACAGTAGTAAAAACAGCCTGGTATTGGCATAAAAACAGACAGGAAGATCAATGGAACTGAATCAAAGACACAGATATTAATCCACAGACCTACGAACACCTGATTTTTGACAAAGAAACAAAAATATCAAATGGAAAAAAGAAAGGAAATTCAACAAATGGTGATGGCATAATTGGATATCAACATGAAGAAGAATGAAATAGATCCATATCTATCATCATGCAAAAACTCAAATCCAAATGGATGAAAGACCTCAATATAAAGTCAGCCACACTGAACCTCATAGAAGAAAAAGTAGGAAGTACACTTGAATGCATTGGCACAGGAGACCACTTCCTAAATAACCCCAGTAGCACAGACACTGAGAGAAACAATTACTAAATGGGACCTCCTGAAACTGAAAAGCTTCTATAAAGCAAAGGACATGGTCAATAAGACAAAATGGCAGCCTACAGAAAAGATCCTCACCAACCACACATTGGACAGAGGTCTGATCTCCAAAATATACAAAGAACTCAAGAAATTGGTCATCAAAATAACAAATAACCCAATTTAAAAAAAAAAATGGAGTACAGACCTAAACAGAGAACTCTCAACAGAGGAATCTAGAAAGGCTGAAAGACACTTAAGGAAACATTCAACACCCTTAGTCATCAGAGAAATGCAAGTCAAAACAATTCTGAGATTCCATCTTAACGCCAGTAAGAAAGACCAAGAGCAAAAACACTGATGACAACTTATGCTAAAGAGGTTGTGGGGTAAAGAGAACACTCCTCCATAGCTGATGGAAGTACAAGCTGGTACAGCCCTTTTGGATGTCAATGTGGCGATTTCTCAGAAAATTAGGAAACAACCTTCCTCAAAACCCAGAAACACCACTTTTGGGTGTATATCCAAAGGATGCTCAATCGTGCCACAAGGACGTATGCTCAACTATGTTCATAGCAGCTTTGTTGGTCATAGCCAGAACCTGAAAACAACCTAAATGCCCCTCGACCAAAAAATGTATAAGGAAAATGTGGTATATTTACACAATTGAGTACTACACAGCAGAAAAAAATAATGACATCTTGAAATTTGCAGGCAATTGGATGGAGCTAGAAAACATTATTTTGAGTGAGGTAACCCAGACCCAGAAAGACAATTATCATATGTATTCACTCATAAGTGGTTTTTTAAACATGAAGCAAAGAAAACTAGCCTACAAATCACAATCCCAGAGAACCTAGACAACAATGAGGACCCTACGAGAGACATACATAGATCTAATCTACATGGGAAGTATTAAAAGACAAGATCTCCTGAGTAAATTGGGAGCATGGGGACCATGGGAGAGGGTTGAAGGGGAGGGGAGAGGCAGGGAGGGGAGCAGAGAGAAATATATAGCTCAATAAAATCAATAATAATAAAAGAACCAAGTCTGTGGCCCCTGGGCATCATGTCACATTCAGGTTGGTCTGTTTTTAAGAAGAAAAGGTAGATGAAATGGCCTGTTTAGCTCCGAGAAGAAAAAGACTCCATTTCCCCATAACTCTGGTGGAGATTTTTTTTCTTTCAGTTGTAAATACAGGAAAGAGGGGAGACGAGACATGGCCTTTAAAGGTTCTCAATAAACTTTGAATAAAAAGATATTCTGTAGAGATCTACCCAACTCTTCTGACTTCACGCTTCTCAAGTCCAGTGCATCAGACAAAACTCAAAAATGACTGGAACAAAGCGAGAAGCAGGAGGAGGCTGCTGACAGGCAGGGGCTGTCTGGTCTCACACTCCTGGATGAACCCACCTCCATGGCCAGCATCAACCATGTTTTCCTCTCAGTGTGGCTGAAGGTGGGGGAAAGAAAGGGACCTGCTTTGAAGGGCTCCAGAGATGGCTAGGGCTCAACCCCACTTCTAAGGTGCTCACAGTCTATGAAGCTTGTGAGAGAAGAGGACCCCCCCCCTTCTCTTCTCTCTTTTCTGTTTTTTTTTTTTTTTTTTTTTTTTTTTCTGAGACAGGGTTTCTCTGTGTAGCCTTGGCTGTCCTGGAACTCGCTCTGTAGACTTGGCTGTACTCGAACTCAGAGATCTGCCTGCCTCTGTCTTCTAAATGCTGGGATTAGAGATGGGACCCACCATCACCTACTGAGAACAGACTCCTTAAACGGTTCATTTGCAGTCTGGATTCAGATGTAGTCTCTGAGGTTGGGTGGGATCTTATACAAGCCATAGGTTGGGTTGTGGATCTTATACAAGCCATAGGACCTGAATCACTTTTCATGTCATTTTGACCTCCCTGTGCTAATTATTAGTGGACTGGGAAAAAGACAATGCAAAAATCTATACCATAGAGTCCTCATCTGAGTGAGGAAAGGAGCAATATTCCAAGGCACTTAAATATTGGGATGTATAATTACCATGGTAACCTTCTTATAGTCTGGCATGTGTTTGTCGATGGAATTTTTTTTAACTTTTTATTGATTCTTTGTAGATTTTACAACATTCATCCTGATCCCATTCATCTCCCTATTCCCTTGTTTCCACCCTTTGCTGTTGTGACATCCCCAAAACAAAGCAAAATTTAACATATAGTCTAAAAACAAAATAAAACACAACAACAACAAAGAAACATAGATGAAAATCCTAAGGGCAAAGGCCAAATATTGCAAAGCATTACTATGAGCCCTGTCATTTATCATGTGGACCTTGTCATTTAACAGTTGTTGAAATAAGACTTCATAGGATGTGGCATCAAAAGAAGCTCAAAGGGATAGCCTTCACCTTCTTGTCCATAGTGACTTTTGGAGTCTTGCATTCTGTTTCCCATATAAGGACCCACTCCAAGCAAATGTTTGTCTTCCCAGTGAACAGTGCCTAAACTTTGAACAAGTATTTATCAAACAGTGTCTGTCACCATCCTCTGTCTTGAGGGTACAGATGCGAGCACAGTAGGAAAGTCTCAGTCTGCATGAAGCAAGTGCTCTGGGGAAAGGTAATGCAGGGGTAGATAGAAAGGGAGAGACATGGCTTAAGGGTGGCTCACTGGTCCCTACAGGGACCTTTATGAGGATTAGTTCCAAGACTGAAGGATGGCAGAAGGATCCTGGAAGTCTGTGATGACTCACATCAACTGGATCCAAGTCAGATGTGGTGGTTTCAGTAGGATAGCGAATAACAGCGGTGTATGTTAGGGAAGAGGAACAAGGGTCTCTGCAGAGGAGCACACTTTTAGGTCCCTTTCTCCTTATTCCAAGGATAACCGCCTCAGAACTCAGGAGTTTCACCCAGGAGACAGGAGGCCTTAGCTCTCATCGCATTCCTATAAAAAGATAATAGAAGACAGGAGGAATTATTGGTGTAACTTAAATGGAAACCATCTTTTCCACAGTTTCCAATATTTGGAGAACATTATTTACTATTTCATCAAGTAACAAATTTCCATCCTGAAACACATCTAGATTTTCTTAGTTTAAGGAAATGTTTATTCTTTCTTTGTTCCTTTCTGACCTTAGGTTTGCTCTGGACAGTAAGAGCTGTCATGAGATAAACCAACATCTAGCAGTCAGAGCTAAAGATTATCTAAACACGAGGGTTAATCTTCATTGCTAACCTAACTAAATTTAGCACCACCCTGGAGACAAATCTCTAAGTATGACTGTGAGGACATTTCCAAAGAGGTTTTACTGGGAAGGGAAGACACGCCCTTAATATGGGTACCACCCATGCTCTATGCTCCCAAAATGAACAGAGAGGACACTGCCTTCCTCTCTCTTTGCCTCTTGACTGTAGGTACAATGTAAAGATCTAAGAGGACAGATAGTCCATTATGATCATGATCCAAGGTAAATCTTTCTTCTCTTAAGTTCTTTTTGCCAGGTATTCTGTCTCTCATAAAATCCACAGATAATTAGTACCAAGACCCCCAGTTTTCCCTTTTGAATACTGTCTCCATGTACCCTATGTAAAACCAACTGGTATTTGCATATGAACTATTCTCATTCTCTGTGTGTCTTAAATAATATCTAAATTAATACCTAATGCAAGGCAAGAGTCACATAAACATTTTTACATTGTATTGCTTAGGAAATAATGACAAGGAAAGGGGTACATGAACAAGGAAGAACAGCTGTGGTTACCCCTTTACTTCTTGAGCATCTGCATAGTTATTCATGGTTGTAACAAAAATGCTTCCCCAAGGAGCACTATTCACTGTGGGTGGGACTGTAAACTGGTACAGACATTGGAGAAATCACTGGCAGAGTTTCTCAAAACACTAAAAACAGAATTATCATATGATCCAGCAAAGCAAACCCTGGACATACACTCTGAAGGACTGTATAACCAACCAGAGAAATATGTGTCCACTCATGTTTATTACCGCTTTAGTTATGATAGTAAGGAAATGGAAGCAGCCTAGTTGTCCATCACCTGATGAAGGGATGGTAAAACTGAGAGCCATTTACACATTGGCACTTTACTCAGCTGTAAAGAAAATTAAAGTTGTGGAATTTAAAGGCAAATGGACGAAACTGGAAAAAGTATTGCATGCTACAGATCATACTGATCCCATCAACTGGGACAGGCTCTAGAGTGACTTTTAAGGCAAATCTCTGGATCATATTCCTGACACAAACAGTCTAAGAGAAAAGGAAAGATTTCTTATTATCATTATTCCTGTTGTTACTATTGGGGTGTGTGTGGAGTATGGGTATCAGAGGACAACGTCCGGAGTCGGCTCTCTCCTTTCACCTTGCTGCTGTTCCAAAGATTGAACTGAGGTTGCCAGGCTTGTAAGGCAGGCATGTTTACCCACTGAGCCATCCTGCTGAGCCCCAGGAATGTTGGTTTCAGCTCACAGTTTCAGAATGTTGAAGTCCACGATGATGGGGATGAGATGGGAAGCATAAAGGAGCCACTCCATCCACGGTGACAGAATCATGAGGCAGCTGCTGTTCCCACTGTGGTAGAGCAGGAAGGTGAGCCCAAGCCATAACCAGCAAAAGCTCCCCCTTTCCAGCCCTATTCTACCAGCAGGTCCCACATCCTAAAGTCCCCACAGTCATCCAAAAAAAAAAAAAAACACCAGCACCAGGCAGTGGTGTCACATGCCTTTAATCCCAGCACTCAGAGGCAGAGATAGGCACATCTCTGTGAGTTCGAGACCAATCTGGTCTACAGGAAAAACCTTGTCTTGAAAACAAAACAAACAAAAACAAGCCACCATCTTGGAAGAAGTTCTCAAAACAGGATCCAGTAAGAGATACTTAAGATTTAAACCACACCACTTCCACCATCTTTTCCCATTCTCTGCTTCTCCTGAGCCCAATTCTGCTTCAGGGCCCGGCAGGGAGGCTGGGGGAGGCAAAATTTCACATGTAAGGCAATCATCCTAAAAATAAAAGCCAGAGTCCTTTGCAATGCCACCCTGCCTCACTGACTCAGGCTGTACTTCCTCCCTCACCCCCATGCTGCTCCCTCGCCTGCTGCTGCCCCTTAAAATTTCCCAGTGCTTCCCAGGGTCCTTGCTCCTGTGTCCACACTGCTCTCTGCCTGCTTTCCTTAAGGACCTTAAGGGCTGGCAACTCCTTTTAAGTAGCCAGCTACTTTGACTATTGTATTTAAATGCTAATTTAAGGCTTCGGATTTTTTTTTTCAAAGCACTGGTTACCACTTGGTATTTATTGACTTTGTTGTTTGACCCCCTCCAGATGAAGGAAATTTTCTCGAAGGCAGGAATTCTCTTTTGACCCTGCAGCATCCAAACCCACAGGGTCCAAGGCTGGCTTACAGCAGGAATTTCCTCAGTCCTTTTTCCCTTCCAAAAACAAAGTGAGATCTGTTTTCATAGCCTGCCAAAGAACAATAACAAAAAAAAAGAAGATTTATAGACTTTTCAGTAAAAATTAGGTTTGCAAAGAACCAGTAAATTCCTGAGGACTGCTGGGAAATCCTCCCCAGAGCTTTCTTGTGCCTCTTATCCCTTTTTAATTAAAAGTGTGATTCCTCAAAGGTTTCCACTCAAAATAAACATGGTATAATTTAATTTCTTTCTGTCTTCTTTTGTTTAATCTCTGGCCTCCTACCCTTGTGACCATAAACTAGTTTAAATGCCCTTTGTTTTAGTTGTATTTGAGCTACACTTCAGCTAATTATTAGCAAGTACACCATTTTTATGTGGAAACATTCCTGGTAAGTTCCAAGCACTTTTTTTTGAAAAATTACATTTTTAATATTAATCCTTCTGCAAATTGGGAACCCAGCTTAAACGCCTTCTAAAAAAAAAAAAATCTTTGGACTCCCAAGTTAATTTTGCTATTCCCTCTATTTGGAAGAGCAAACAATAGAACACCCATAGCAAACGCAGCCAGAAGAGAGAGACTTGGTCCAAATGCTCTGTTAGTTCTGCACACAAATGGTTTTAGGTATGTTCCTAACTACCAAACTTCTAGGGAGATGTAATCACGGAAGCAAGCTATACCTGTCCAGGGCCCAGACAGAATGACAGGGCACCTCAGATTTCCACAGTGGCGAGGCCCTGTCACCCCTCCTGTGCAGCTTGCCCTGTGGAGACCTGTCTGATGGTTCTGTAGACAAAAATGTGAGGCCAGGTGGAGCTCGGTGGGTTATGCTTGCCAGTTAGACAACAGCTGTTGTCTGTGGCCAGGGCATTTCCTGTCAGTGTGCACAGGTGGTGTGTCTCTCAGCAGTCAGATTCACAGTATGTCTTCTCTGGTGTGGAGCCAGAGCAATGGTCTCCTTGCTGGCTTGCCCCCACACCAGCTCCCGCTAGCACTGCCTGACTCGCTGAAGCCTGCAGGGTCGGGGATCTCTGATGACCATTTGGTCTTCAGACCCCAGCATGACCACCCACTGCTCACTCCCATCACCAGGACAGGGCCAGGTTCCAGGATTCTTCTCCCTCTGCCAACAGCAAAAGACCCAGGGAAGCTGTGGTAGCCATCTCCTGTGGGAGACACTCTGGCAAACTTCAGAAGTGAAGCCCCCTTTGTCACACCCTCAGTGCTCCTTTCCCGACGGCCTAGTGATGTTGGGTTCCAGGCAGCACAGTGTGAAGAGGCTCATCCCAGGAGAAGACAGAGTGGTAATGAGCCAGTGCTCCCGAGCCCTGGCTATCAGAGGGGGCACTGAAAGAAGAATAGAAGTCAGACAAAGAAGGTAAAGGAAATGCAAGCAAAAAGGAAAACACTGAAATGTAGAGGGACACAGAATATCTGTAACACTTAGGACCCCAAATGCTGTAAGGTAACCCAGTGGAGACATAGGCGGGACCTCCGGTCAGAGAACAAACTTCAGAGCACTGATGAGTCTTGGGGCCAGTACATGTGTAAGAAAGATCCCTCTGGCTTCGGGGCACACAGAGTGCAGAGGCCGTGACAAAAGAACAATGACTAACTAAAATGTTCTGCTTTGTGCCATGTATATAGTCACCCCTCACAACAGCCCTGTGAGGTAGACATGAGTGTCCTCTTAAAGAAAGAGCCTGGGGAGGAGAGAGGCCTGGGAGCCCTTTTGACATCCATCTACTATGAGAGGACTCCAGGGTCCAGGCTGTTGCAATAATCCTGGTAAGGACAACGATGACTTCTACTTCAGTAGGGCACCAAGGATCGTGGGAGGCAGAAGAGTATTGCCATCCCCAAACGTGCACCTCTCAACCGCTGGAAAATGTGGCTGTGTTGGGCTTTGTCACAAAGGGAGACTAAGTTTGTAAAGGAAACCCTTCAACTCACTTCCATACAGGGAGATGACCCTGGCCTATCAGGATAGACCTATGACATCACTGGGGAAGCTGAGTGGATAAATCAGAGATAATGTGGCAGTAAAGCAGAGGCAGGGAGCAGCTCGGTAGCTGGCACTGAAGATGGGGGCGGGCACCAGCTGAGGGCTATAAAGGCAGCCTATGGAAGTTGGAAAAGACAAAGAAAGGAATTCTCTCTTAGAAACTCCAGAAAGAAAGACAACCTGGTGATTGGCCCCAAGTGGTTTGACCTGGTGAGCTGACCCCAGTGAGAATCACGTAAGACTTCTCCCTGCAGGACTGTGAACTAACATGCCTGCCATATCTTACACCACTGGGTTGGTGGCTATAGCGGCAGTTGCAAACTGCTCAGGAGTGGAGAAGAAGCCACAAATCAAAACGCTCTGGGGAGGGAAAGTTTCTAGAATTCAAAAGTTCAGAAGGCAGCTGGTGTCCCCTTGCTGGAACTGGTTTCGGGGTAATGTAGATGCAACCGAAAGGGAAGCTAAAGAAAGACTGGAGGTCTCACCTTGTTCTCCTGACCTAAGAGCACGTACTTGATTCTCCTGGTTTGTAGCCTGGCCTTTGACCCATACTTTTCTATACTGTCATCTGACTTCTCGCCTCCAGCATCAACCACTTCACCAGAAATTCTGAGCTCTTTCTTAATGCATAAAAACGTATTCAAAATATCACAGTCTCTACTTAAACCCTGCTAGGGACGACCACTGCTCTTTGCTCCCTTCGTTTCTTTTCATTAGCATAGAAAATAACAGGCTTCCTATGGCATTTTGGTTGAATCTCCATATTTACTTAATTCTGGTTAAATCTCCAACCCCTCTCCCCTGTGTCCCTGTCCCCAGCCCCATTACACCCTCCCTGACCCTTCATTTTCTACACTTGTATTCAATGGTCCGCCCCACTCCCTCTCTTAAAGCCCTTAAGACTTTTCCCAGCCTTTCCCTCTCTCATTCTGTGATTACCATATAGAGCCTCAGTAGCCAGGAAAAGAATCACATGGTCTTTGCCTCCTTCTACCTATTCCTGGTACATTTTCAGTCCTCTCTGCACACTCTTAAGTAGGATGCTGGAGTATGGACATTGCTCACGGGATTTGTATTCCTGGAGATCACAGAGCAGCAAACTCTACCAGTGAAGTGCGACAGAGTGGAGTCCCCTTATCTGCCTAGGGGGGGAAGAAGAGGAGGTTCCAGGAAAACACATCTCTATGGTTATGATCTTAGAAAGCAATTCCCTACCACACCTCCCTCGACTTTCCCACCTTTTGACTTTAGGAGCTGTGAACTGACCTCAGGTGGCCTGAATGAGGAAAGCGCAATCACCAAGGCACGGGATGACCCTGATAGGACCTTCCCCTTATCCCATCACAGGAAAAGACATATGCAGAAGCTATTGAGTTTCTCATATTTAAATATGATTTACAATAGAAACAAAATTTCTCATTTAATGAGAAGAGACAATGGATTAAAAGTCATAAACACCTTATGAGGGGCTTTTTGTCTGATCCTTTTATTTGGCTATGTGTTTTCTTACTGAGCTGAGCTCTGTGACAGTGGCATAGGACCGACCACTTGGGACTGATACTCTGTTTGAGAAACAAAATACTCAGCCTCGGGCACCATGAGAGCAGCCACGTGTGTTTGTCTGTTTACCAGCTACCATCCTTAATTTCACCTGGAGCTAAATTTCTTATTTGCCTTAAAACAAATAAACCAGGAAAACTGCGAGGTGGGGGTGGAATAAGAACAGAGTCAGCCCTGACATGAGAGGAGGGTCAGCTTAGCTGAGGGGTGGGTTAGTTCAGCCAGGCTGTGAGGATGGATGGGAAGCGGAAGGGCATCTTAAACCTAAGCAGAGACGCCCAATACCCCTGCTGGCTGACTTGGACGGGGCTGTCAAGAGACCCATTTGACATTAACAGAGGAAAAAGCAGCCTTGCTGGGAACATCAGAAATCACACAGAACTGCTGCTCACTGCTCCCCAGTCAAGCACCAATTTTCTCTGAGGCTTTGGAAAGTTAAATCTCTTACCTGGTTTTGCACAGTATTTTCACAGAAATGCATATGTTAATGCACCGTCATGCAAACGATAAACACTTGCATGCGTTTTTAAGACACCACTTGAAAGAATGCTGTCCCTTGCAGCAAGAAGACCTCGAGCCCCGGACGCCTCTCCCTAGACTACTCTTCACCCCAACCTCAGGCGATTTATGAACTCAGCCAAGTATACAAACCATTATCTCTGGGCAGACTCCCATCTGCTCCCTGACTCTGGCTCTGCGGGGCTCTACACATCTCACTCAGGTTGTTGCTCAGCTCGTCCCTGACTGGTCCTGTTGCCTCTGCTCGATTCTTCTTCTCCTATTCTTCTACACGTCTCAGTTTATCCTCTAAAGAGAAAGGGGAGTGCCTCACCACTTACCTGTTCCAGCCTTTTGTGCACCTGTGGTTGCCCACACCAAGCCCCGCACTCACATCATGAGAGTCCATGCCGAGCCTCATCCCATCTCCGCACTCTGTCTTTTCCCACCCAACTAGTACTTTACCTTTTGAGAAAACACTGTGCACTCCTTAGGGAAAGAAAAACATAACACAATAAATTCTCCTGAAGGAACTTTGATTTTTTTTTTCCTATTTGGGGACTCATTTATCTGCTATATTTTTCAGCCAAGGTTCCTTGAGAATCAACAGGAATACATCAACATTTTATGATCTGAAAAAATTGTTTTGCTAAGGTTGAAAGAGTAGCTTAATGGCTAACAGCATTGTTGCTCTCCCAGAGCACCAGAGTTCAGTTCGCAGAGCCCAAGTCAGTTGGCTCATGACTGCCTACAACTCCAGCTCCAGGGGATCAGATGCCGTCTTCTGGCCTCTTGCACAACGGCACACATATGTCACACACTGACCCGGAAACACACACATACACATTACTAAAAGTAAATCTTTTTAAATATTTTGGTGGTATCCACACCTACAATCTCAGTAGGAAGATGCAGGAGTGCTATCCTGAATCTGAGGCCAGCCTAGAATAATGAGTTTCTTCCTAGCCAGGGCTGCAGAATGAGACCCTCTCTCGAAAGACAAAAAATAATTAAAGAAATAATTGATTTTTAAAATTTTTAATAAAAACTAATTCAGAGGCAACAAAGTCACAGGGCTACTTTTGTAAGCTCTTGTACCTCCAACATGTCCAATCACAAACTACAAGTCTCCTGAAATGGCTCAGCTGATCATTGACTGGCTGGTTTGGTGGACATTCATTTAGGTGCCAAAGATGAAGAGGTGAATCAGACAGAACTGCTCTGGAGAAAGCACAGTTTCATAAAGTACTTGTCTCCTATTCCCAAGGCCAGTTCTTGGCTATGAGGGAGAATATGGTTATCACTCTGTTGGCAATTATACCAGGAAATTGACTAATGGAACCCCAACAAGATAGCTGCTCAGAACACCTTCCTGCACAGAGACAAGTCTCCACCATGAGAACAAGGCCTGAATGTGGCTTCTCTCTGAAACAGCAGGACCCTGGGCCCTCAGACTTCTCCCTAGTCACAGCAACGTGGCTTTCAAACTCTGCAGAACAGATAAATGGAATTCAAAGCCAAACATTGCCTTTTCTGAGCAGAGACTTTGGAATATAATATAGATCATATAGGATATAATATATAACATATATATGGTATATAGGTGTAAAACTTGATCACTGTAATTCAACCTTCAATATTCCCCTTAGCCTCAGCCCAGCTGATACGGCTCTGACACCTCTAGCAAGTCCTGTCTCTGCTCAGCTTCACCTGACCCATTCTTCCTCTCGCCCGTACCCTCCTCATTCACCCCTTTAATTATTCTGTTCCCAAGGATCTGTTCCAGAGCTGCTTCTGGAAGGCGTGAGATAGTTAGTTTCTTTCTGCTTGGCTCTAGTTACCTTCTCCATAGATACCTGAACCCTTATTGGGTTGCATCTCAGGTTCTGTCTTGGCATCTTTCTGTAACTGTTAATTACTTTCCTGGCTTTCTGCCAAAGGAATTTTGCCTAAGAACATATCCTCACCAAATCATATTCATCTCTTTAGTCTGCCTTGTGGGTTTTAGGCCTCTAACACACATCCTGCCCTCCGCCTTATATCTTTGCCACCTGGATAAAGTAGATGGGGTCCCTGGTACAGATCCAAACACTGTGCACACATCAAAAATAGAAGCAGAGGGCATCAGTCTGCACAGAGAAACAGGGAGGAAGGAAACACTGTAAACTCTAAATCCATGGGTTTTCACGGCCGCCAGAAGAGGAAATGAAACCTTAGTAGTTGGCTCAGAGATTCCGAACACATGTGTCCCTGGAGGCATCAGATCTACCAATACAGATGCAAAGAAGAGTCACCTGATTTGTGGGAGTTGTTCTCACAACTGCCCAAGATCATCCACCACCTCTGACCAACCCTGCCACACACGTGAGTGTCCAGGCAGTAAAAAGATCCATGGATTCCTTGACTCAAAGTCAACTCACTAAGAACTAAGAAAAATCAACCCTCATTACACCATGTAATTCCTCCCTTTGATTCCCACTTACTTTTCTAATAGCTCCCAGACCAAGTAATTACCCAAGTAAATACAAATACACCAACTCCAAAGAGGCAAAACCATGATCTCTATTTTCCCCAGGAACCAGAGCCATTCTAGGCATGTTGTGACCTGAGCCACACAGACAGGCCACCTGGAACTGCTTCTATTCCTTTACCCCACGGTTCTACCTGCCAGCCCTGCAAGGACTCGGGTGGAACCTCAGCCTTCTCAGCAAGCCCCTCCGTGGTCTCCATAGCTACTTGAACAAGCATTTCAGCACATTTTAGCTAATGGGGACTGTAGGTGGATAGAGATTGGTTCTGAGCTCTTTACGTTATCATAGCAACACGATTGCGCCCCTAGCTATGCATCCCCCTTTGCGGTTGTTGTGGACACCTCTGTCGATTCTGCCTTCCAAACACCAGAACGGTATGTGGTCAGGAGCTCTGACACCGAACAGACACGGGCCCAATTCCCAGCTTCTCTGCTTACAGCAGAATGAACCTGAAATAGCAGGCCCATTTTATAGTGCTACTGTAAGGCTACATACATGAATACGAGAGTGAGGCTCCGGAACACCCCCATGTGGACAGTAGCCACCTTGTACGCCTCATTTTCCCTTATCACCTATGCACAGCACATACACCAGGGGATAAAAGCACACGTGCCGACCGACTTCTCCAAAGTGGATGAATTCTCCTACATCTGTGTTCTGTTTTTAATGCCAGCGCCAAATCTATGATGTCGAGGCTACTTACAGCTGCTGTTTAAGATCGTGTCTGAGAGCATCACCCCTTTGCCCTCCTTGTGTCGCCTATTCTTTTTGGATAACAAAGAATTCCCTCCTCGCCGGTCCAGTTGCTGAAGGCAACATGGCTGCTGAGATGAGTCAGCAGCTCATGTGCAGCCTGCAGCTCAGAACTGGCCCTCTGTGCTGTGTGTCTTGAAGAATCCATGTTTGTGCCAGGGACCCCTGGCAGCATCCACCCGAGGTGCTCCAGCTGTGTCAGGCACTTGTTTCATTGCAGCTTGGAGCATTTGCAGCTTGGAGCATTTGCCGCTTGGTTTCTGCTGAGTGGGTTTTACTTAGCTGCTTGCTTTTGGTCATGTCTGATTCCCAAAGCCTTCAGTTCAGAGTACATTCCTGACACATCCTCAACAGGATGTCCTGGACACTGAGTACCAGGGCAAAGCGAAGTTAATGTTCTGTTCCTCAGTCTGAAAATCATGCTTTCATGACTGTGTCCAGCAAAACCTTCAGCAGTGTGGTGGGGCTGGCAAGAAAGATGGCTCAGCAGTTAAAGGTGCTTCCCTGGGATCCACATGGTAAAATGGGAGAACTGACTCCCATCTCTGCTTCTCTCTCTCTCTCTCTCTCTCTCTCTCTCTCTCTCTCTCTCTCTCTCTCTTGCAGTGGAAGAAGTGGGCACCCTGTGAGCTGCATTTGCTTATTTGAGCTGAAAGGAAAGCAGACTGTGACAGCTTTTTTTTTTTTTTAGTAGACAGTGAAGTTGATAATGAACTCTGTGGAAGTCCACATCCTCCCCAACATCTGGCCTGTATTCAGCAGGTGCTCTTGATAGTTGATGATTATTGATAACAGTAATGGCCTTATCTTTTAGGTAGGATTGTAAAGTTACACACACACACACACACACACACACAGACACACACACACACACACGCATGCACGCACCACCACCAATCCCTTCATCACTACCACCTAAGAACCATGTCTTCTCTCCCTTCACTCTACCAAATATTTCCAGTGCTCCTAGGAACAAAAGACAAGCTCACTCTGTCTCTCAACTAGAACTTGGCTTACTGAAGTTGCCCCCAATGCTAGAAGACACGGCCCTTCAGTTGGAGGCAGGCACCGGATTCATCAGCTAAATGAAGAACACAACAGATACATGCACATTACTGCACCACGCGCATCAGTCTCACTACCCACAGCTTTCTCAATGGGCTAGGTCACCATGAGCATCAACGCTGCACACAGGGATCTAAGTGAAGACCTCTCACAGTTGTTTCTGCCCTGCCTTCCACAATTTCATCCTCAAAGCAACTCAATCCTGACATGCACTCTCTCACACACTAGTAATTAATCAAGATCAACTGAGGACCACTGATAAGGGAGCCACTTAAAACCAAGGGACCCTGCCAGCTCTGGAATTTCCATTTCAATGAATTCTTCCCATCATGGTGGAATTGTTTGGTGTCGTTCAGAGGGCTTCTCTTAATTTGTCCTCAAAGTAGACCTAATGTAAGGTTATTTCCCATCTGAAATGTTCAACACCTCTCAAGTAAAGCCCCGTTCCTCTGGTCAAGAGGGTCTAGGATCTTACCTTTCTTGTGTTCCCTAGAGGACATCATCTCAATCAACATGGCAACTTGAAGCTCAAGCCTCTAGTTTTTCTATATGACCCATCGTACGTATGTTTGTTGTTTTGTTTTGTGTGTGATATGTGCAAGCATGTATACATGTGTGTTTTCATGTGTGTACAGGTATGGGGGGAGCAGGAAGTTGATGCTGAATATATTCCTTGATTATGCTCTACCTTATACATTGAGGCAAGGTTTCTCACTTGAAACCCAGAACTCAGCAATTCAACTAGTCTAGTTAGTCTTTGTGCTCCAGGGATTCCCTGTCTCTGCCTGGCAGGCAGCACTGAGATTACAGGCAGGCCTCCAAACCCACCCATCATTTACATGGATGCCAGGGTTCCAAACTCCCTGGGTTCTCATGTTTATTCAGCAAGCACCTCACCCACTGAGCCATCTCGCAGCTCCCTGTGGCAGTAGACTTACCCTATAGAGAGGCTGTGTGACTCTTCGCCACCACAGTCTAAAGCCCAGAAAGATACAGAAGGTGTCTTTAGCTGAAGATGAATCGCCCTTTATAAACACAGTCACTACGCTAAGATCATGGCAAGGGGACCGTGCCTATCCCCCCTAATCAGTCCTGTAGCCCAGCGCAGCTAGAGCCGCCGGGTGTGTTCACATCATACATCTGGCCAACAGTATGCGCAGCTAATTTTTGCCCTGTTCCCCTTGAGTACCTAAATGCTGCCAAGCTCTTAAGAGTGCTTGCACCCACCCCTGCTCAGTCTGCAAGACAGGCTGCAGGCAGCCATCTGTTTCAGGAGAAGGATCGAGCGCCACCTGCTGTTTTCGAACCCTCTGCCTGAAGGATCCTGCTTCTTAAAACCCACGGTGATGTCATTTAGGCTGCTCAGGGCTTGAAGATGCCAGAGCTCTTCTGTGAGGGAAAGGACAATACCTATAGAATTGGCACCTGCCGTGCCCCGTGGCAGGCAGTATGCCCATGACTCACCAGGAGAGCCCTTGGCTGAGCCCTTCCAGTACGTGTCTTTCTCCTTTCTTCCTGTGAGTTTAGGGAAGAATGCCAATGCAAAACAGAAGTTACCCACTTAATTCCAACACAGGCTTTTCCTTCATCCAATGAAATGAGCGCATTTTGGGTTTTCTTTTTTTCCTGGTCTGCAGTAGCAGTTCAGGGGTGACATTCTTCATGGCTTCTCACTGTGCTGGCCCCACTTGGGTCCTGCCTCTTCAGCTTTAAGCATTGCTTATAGCAGTGTTTATCTGTCAGTGAGGCCAATCTTTCCTCCCCTTGTGGGCTAAGTCTCTTGAGAGGCAGCAAATGCTGAGTCATCTCTGCAGCCTTTCTAAGAACCTCCTGCCTGTTGGTATCTGGGGACTTCATATCCCAACTCTGAGTTTCTTCTCAGAAGCCTCAGAAATCCAACACCCATTCCTGGCCTTTCTGAATCTATTGAGGATCCTGGTCCTAAGAAACTAGCAGAAAAGAATATGCCCTTCCCTTCTTTCTTGCTGCCCTCTTCTCTTGCCTTTCTCCTCCCCTAAGATATATATACTTCTCAACTCTTACTATTTGAAGAGTTTTATTTGTTGTTTATTTGGTTGTTTTTGAGGGGGAAAAAACGCCCAATGAGCTGCTCCGGCTGACTCCAACTCACTCACGG